AGTGAAGCTGTATCACAGTGGTTCACACTGTGACAAAAACCTCCATCAGAGACCTACTGAAGATTTATTGATTCTCAGCTAAATCAGACACATCAAATGAGAGAAACTGCTTCAAAACATTGAAGGACAACAAATCAATTCCTGTGAAGAGACAATTCAGTCTGGAGCAAATCAAACTGATGAAGTTAGTGAGATGTTGACAATGAAAGTTGGTCTCAACAGGATCTTTCAGTTCCACTCCGTCATCAGAGCGAGTCGAGAGGTTTTTGTACAGCCATGTGTACCAACTGAATCACTGTGGTATTCGGACAAGGAACCAAGCTGATTGTGACAAGTAAGTACTTTAAATCTCTTCTTAAAACGTAAGCGATTATTTTGTTTCTACTTCATTTTGACAGATATTTATGTAATACGTTAATCTTTTATTTCTTATACTTTTTGAAGATATTTAACATGTTGGATTTTGTTCATCTACTTTCTTAACAAGTTGTTTTTTAGCAGACAATTTTTGTTGTAAAATGTTTTACTATATTGATTTCTACTACTTACTAACATTTAAAAACAATTTTAACAGCATCATACTTTAAAATGATCAATGTTAAAGTCTGAATATGAATTTACTGAGTTTGTGTTGATTAACTACTAATCTTTTAAAATGAAGGGCAAACTTTAATGTATCTTCTTTATTTAGTTGTAACACCACATTTGCTGGATTTTAAAAATGTAGTAAAAAGGAGATTAAGATACATATAAGACTAAGTACAAATATAACTGTATTTAACATGAACAATACAGAACATCTCGTTGTATTATCTAGTGTGTGAATGATACACTTTGTTTTCGAACTCTGCTCTGATGGTTTCTAAATATTTTTTTCTCTTTCTCCTCAACTTACTAACAGATTCCTTTTGCCGCCATGATTTGCATCAATAGCTCCACTTCCCTTCATTTAAAGAATGCCTTTTGTGTGTTTCAGGCTCCAGCCTCCGTCCTCCCGTCCTCACTGTCTTTCCTCCGTCCAGTGCTGAGCTGCAGTCCAACAAAGCCTCTTTGGTCTGTCTGTCCAGTCAGTCTGGGCCTTTTGCAGATGTGACCTGGATGTCTGGAGGGAGTCCAGTGGTCACTGGGATCTCTACCAGCACCGCTGTTAAGCAACCTGATCAGACGTTCCACATCAGCAGCTATCTGGCCATCCAGGCGTCAGACTGGAACATGGATAAGGTTTACACATGTAAAGTGTCTTTGGGCTCCCAGACTGCAGAGAAAAACATCAAGAAGTCTGAGTGCCTCACTGAACAACAGTAGAGGAGCAGAAGGACCATTTAACATCTGCTTCTTCCCTCTTTGTGCTGTTTATTCATCACGAGCGTTACATGTTAGAACATGTGTCTCCACGCTTGTAGTACATGTTGTTGACAGTTAGGTAGAGGTGTTGTATCCGCTTTGCAAACTGTAAAATGTAGTAAAACCTTTTGAATAAAAAGCATTTTGTAAAACAACATATTTCTTGTCTCTTTATCACTGACAGTTCAAGAAAAAGCATATTATACTCATAGTATTCTTTGAACTCATCTAAACTTGTGTGACACAATGTGACACAGGAATCCAGAACCATAACATAGTAACATTTTTACAAACAACCATCGGCCGTTTTTTATTTCCAAAAGGTATCATGTTTAAAAAGCACTGTCAGAAAAGATCTAGATAAATGGAATCATCTTTTATGTGCTCCAGTCAGACATTGTCAAGTTGAGGATTTCATTAAACATTGTTGAATATTGAGTTTGAAAGATTGGCGTCTGAAAAAATAGAAGTTTGGGAAAGTTTTTAAAGCTGTCATATTTTTGAGGCAAATACTATTTACCATACTTACTGTATTATTGACTAAATGGTGGAGTTTTAAATGCACAGAAATGTATAATTTCCACTAATCAAGTTTGATGTGAAGCAACCTTGTGTTTCTTGCATCACATTATAAAACTTATTCTTATTCTTTTGTTGTATTTGTTCTTCAAGTCGTCTTGGAATGTCTTCTAGTAACAATAATAATCCTGGTGTTGCAAAAAGGTGTGTTAATCTTTTTTGTAAAGAACATCAAAATGATGAAGCCCGTCTTTGTCTGTCAGATTATCTTTGAAGGAAAGCTTATCATCTATTTTTTGTTTAGGTGTGTATACAAATATTATGAATATAAATAACTACCACTTCAAATATCTGTTTAGATGAAATATAAGTTACAGAAACTGACGGATGGCTTCACTCAAATTGTGTCAGCGTCTCAAAAAGCAGAAGTACTCAGTGAAGAGGTTTTTGTCACAGTGTAAATCACTGTGATACGGACTCTTTAACAGAGTCGTCCCATGTGTTACAGTAATAGACGGCTGAGTCTCCCTCCTCAATGTTCTTTATGATCAAACGATAATCTGTAGTTGACTGATGAGTGGATGTGAACTTTGGAGATGAGAAACCAGTGCCATATATTGGAGTGCTGTCGCCGCGATGAAAACGTAACACAAACTGAGGAACTCCTCCTGGAATCTGTTTATACCACCAAGCATAATTGTCAATCCCGAGGTTACAGTCTATGGAGACTGTCTCTCCTGTCGTCACGGCTACAACAGGCTTCTGTGTCACCACCGTCACACCACTCACACCTGGAAACAACAAGACGACATGGAGTCAAGAGAAACACACACACTGATGAGTCCACCATGAAGTCCAAGCTGCAGGAAGTCAGCCTCCTCACATGTGAGAGCAGTGATGAGAGTGCAGAGGGTCCCCAGCATGGTGTCAGTGTGTGATGAGAATGGCCTTGTGACTTGGAAAGAGACCTGACTGCTGCCAGATTAGAGGCTTTGGAGGATGAGGAGAGGAGGTGCTGGGGGAGACATTTAATACGACACTGAAGCTGGGAGTGACTGACAGGGGGAGGAGCTTAGCTTCAATCTGCATGTTCCTCACAGTTGTGTTATTCGTCAGCATTATTATCAGTGGAGGTTATTTCCCTCAACACCTTTGCAAAAAAAGTGATCTGAAAAGATGTTCTCGAGTTTTGTAGTAACACCATTGGGGCCTGGTCTGGTCTCTACTGATTTAAATTCATGGCATGGATCCAATTTTGTACATTCTTTTTAATCTGTATATCTTCTTTCTTAGGTAGTTCAGAAAAATGTTCTCACAAGTCAAAAGGAGAGTCGCTTTACAAGAGATTCTTAAGTGTACATTAAATACTTGCAACACATATTTAATAATAATCTACATCAGTGTTTGCAGTGACAGACAGGATTACATAGAAAACACAATAGTTATATGAGGTTAAATGTTGTTAACAAACCTCGTCAGAAGTCAAATACAGTTACCTCTTGTGTGCTGAGACTTGACCTCCTCATTTACATGGAGCTATGAATAAGAAGAGGAGGCCTGCAGGTGCATCCTGGGAAACAAGGGGGGAGTAGAGAGGTGATGCTTCACTGATAGAGGATGAAAACTTGAAAGTTTCGTTTGCTCATTTTATTTAATATTCAAACATTGCAACTAAGTCAATCCTTATTTTAAAATGAGTGAGTTTAGTAGCAAACATCAACATGGTCAAAAATGTATTATTTTGTCACGATGGTTGGTTTCCTCCTATAATAAAATTATCAGTGTCAGAAATAAAAAATAATTTGCAAAAAATTTCCCTCATCTTGCTGTTGCTAATCAAGATACAGATATACAGCAACTCTCATGAAGCAATTTGATATAGATGCAGTGTAAAATAATTGACATTAAAGTATTCCACTGAAACTGGTTGTAGTTCCCAGCAGGTGGTCCGACCCGCTCCCTCAGTCCACAAGTCACAGTGTGCTTTAATCTCAGGACCCTTTTCCCCAAAGGTTGGTCCAGCGTCTGGCAGCTCCACCACCATTGATAGTGTACGGGAATGATTAACAACAACTAAAAGCCTTTTGTGGTGCTAGTTACAATTTTCCATTTATATATTTTTAATAACATTTTATGTAAACATATATATACTGTGATAAATCATAACTGTAGACTATACAGCCAATGTGATACTTAATGTTTAGCTATTCAAACACAGAGGATCAAGATGAAAGTGCCAATAAGTTGATTCAAGCTGCCACCTTGTGGTCAAATGTATCTTTTTATAAAAAAAAAGAAAAATGTGTCTTTTCTAAACCAAGCATGAGCATGTGACCTCTTGTCGCATTTCACTCCTCAATAAAACTACAAACTAGACATCTGGAAATAACCACAATAACACTCGGTTGATGCATCAGCACTGATCGGTCTACGGCCTCTGTGGTCCTCTTCTCCTGGCTCTGATCACCTTTGACCCCTTGATTGTCCCCTTGTCAGGAGCCCTCATCTGAGCTCTCAGTGGAGACCTCACACCGATGGGGGGGGGAAGCCTCTGTACGGGCCGCTGAGCCACAGACAACCTGCCGTCCTTCAGGTTGTCCACAAAACCCTCCACGCTGTCTAACTTTGACGTGAGCTTCCCCAGCTCATCTTTGAGAGTGTTAAAGTGCCTGTAGAGGTCTCGCAGGGCATCGGACAGAGGCTGGATCCTGAACACATGCAGAGTACAAATCAGTCAATTATTTAGTCATTTACATGATCAGCCAAAGAGCTTTGTGTAGTTGTTACGTACAGTGCTACAAGGGAATAGGTCTACAGATATGGTGTTCTTTTTTTTGAGTTGTTGGTTTGTGTTTTTGTCTCCCCCTTCTGTTTCCATTCTCTCACTTCACAGATGTGCACACCTGTTCCCCTAATCCAATCAGCACACCTGTTCCAGATCTCCCATCAACCATTCCTCTTTATATAGTCAATGTCAGTAGAGGAGAGCTATTTTGTGTTGAGCTGGGCCCTCGGTTGGAAGAGCACTGTCTTGTGGTAGTTTTTGTAATATCTTTTGGTTGTGCGCACAAGGTCAATGAGGACAGGTAAGATACTCCGGGGTTTACATATTGCATACACGTATAGGTGTACCTGTTGTTAGTACCCTAGGCTAGAGTGAGCACCACCCACTGTACTTTTGGGTGCTAAGCACCGGTCAATGAGAGGGGGGGGTGGTTGTTTATGTTCTTTTCCTTGTTGATCCCTGTGTTGCTCTTTTGCAAAATAAATACTTTTTTGTTACATTTTGTGTGGCTGGCGCCTCACTTGCTTTGACCTGTTGCCCTTATGTTGAGCTCCGGGTCGAGCCACCAGGGAGCGTAACAGTACAGTGTAATGTTTCATAAGCTTACATGAGAAGGAGGAACGTTGTTCATACTTAAAATATAAAAGAGAAATCCAACTTTAAACATGACCATGAAAGTCCACAAACTGTTAAGCAGAAACGGCCTCATCATACGCAGGCAACATCAGGAAAAAAAAGGAAATAACGGATGTCACTTGATAAAAGAGACACTTACAGTTGTCATCAGGAGGACATCAGGCCATATCGCTGTGGAGATTCGGTTGTTGCTGTGAATCATTCTTTTTAGGTCAGAGGAAAAGCAGAAAGTGCCAACCAGGCAGACACAAGTCTGATGAGGATGAGATTTAGAGACACACCAAGCACCATACAACACTCACTCTTTGTTCCTCATGTTCACGTTATGTTAGAAGACCACACATTGCATGTGATTGGATCTTGTGTTGTGGCGAGAGGACCTGCTCCTCCTCAACGCCAGTTTAGGGCCAAGAGAAATCTTTCCGTTTATATCTAACAAGAAATATAAAACAATGTTCTTTGTTGTTTCGCTTAATCCTTCCAGATCTCCCCAACCGGGCTTCCAATTTTTGATCACGTTCGTTCGCTTTGTGTGATCTTTCAGTAGATTGCGCTCAATGATTTCCTGCACCTGCAGAGGCTCATTTACTTCACGGGGACCAAACGGGAGCTCTGGCAGTAAGGAAATGGCCAACAGCGTGGCAGGATGAAATAGGGATCAAGTGTGCAAATTGCAGAGGGGCACATAGTGCGGCTTAAGGTGAGTGAAGTGAGACAGACGGCAGCAGAAGTGCAGCAGCTGAAAGGGAGGAGGGGATGGGGGGGTATCAAGGAAGGAACGGCTTAGCGGCCAAATGGACAACGTGTGATGAAGAGTCAAAAAGGAGATGTGTTAGGGATTTAAGAGGTTCACCCCCAAGGGTTGGAAATTATAATACATGTAGTAATGTTTACCGTTAGAATTGTAGTTTGTGTTTATGTTAAATATTAGTTATTACATTAGCATGTTGGATGAAGTGAATGCAATATGAATCAAACAAAATTCCTAGTCATGTAAACTATATAAATGTCAGCCCTGTGAGGCGGGGGACTTAAAATCTAATAAAGATAAATTTATAAAAAAGCTACCAGCAACGCCACCTAGTTGCGGAGTCTAGGTCTCCATAAAACAGGTTCTTGTTCACCAGAGGAAGAACAGCATGGATCACAAGACTTAAAAGCGTGGTTTAAAAGGAGGATTTTATTATTAACTAAAAACCCATAAATAACTACAATATTAAAAGTCCAGCGGGAACCAAGTACTAAAAGGATTTAAGAATTCGACCAGCCACTGCTGCTGATCAGTCTTGCCCTTTCTTCTTGTTTCCGGTTCCGTTCCTTTCCTGGGTGAGGTGTCCAGTCCGTTACTCTCCTCGTTGCACCCTGTCTGCTTGTCCGCTGTCCTGCCGTCCTCTCGCTTGATTTCCCGTGGCTTCACCTTTCTGTGGCCTTCCTCTTTCTGCCGTGCTTAGTGTCCTTTATAGCAGCTGTGTTAATTGGAGAGGGGAGGTCCTTTCATTGTGTAATGTGGTTGGCCAGGGCTCTCTGTAATTGATTAGTCCCTCCAGGTGCATGTAGTTTACTGAAAGGTGGGTTAATATGTAATAAAACAAGCCATGCTAAAATGTAATAAAACAAACCACGCTAAAATGTAATAAAACAAACCACGCTAAAATGTAAAAACAAGCCATGCTAAAATGCAAAACCAATAATTTACAGAAACCACAATGTCCCCCTGGTGACATAAACACTGTACACATTAACATTCTGTCAATGTGATGGTAAAATCCGGGGACGGATGCTAGTTGCCGTCCTTTATGGATTTCTCCCAATTTTTCTCCCCAAAGAGTTTTATTTTGCAAGTTTTTTTTCCTGTCAGGTAGTAAATGAGCATCTGAATGTAAGACAGCCGATTGAGGCAAATGTCTTGAGTGTTGGACCACATGAACTGTATTAGATCTTATGATGTAGTGTGATGAACTGTGATCATTAATGATGTGTTGTAATTAATGTGTACTAGTTATAAGATGAAGACAAACTATGCATGCTTTGTTATATTCACTCATTGAGGCATAAAGCCGACTGTATCTACATTGAATGTATTGGAATGTGAGGGACAAATAGGACAGAGAGGTTCAGGTTAAAGCTGCAGCTTCACACCTCGATGTGTGGGGGACAATCCAGGAGGAGACACGTTTAAAGGAGAAGCCAATGACATTCAAATGCACCCAAGAAGACACCTCAGAGTTTTCAAATGACCAAAGCGGGGAAAGGACTGTTAGAATTCTCCCGCTTTGATAAGTCACTTTAGACTTGGTCAGAGAATTCTCTATTTCGCGAAATATTACACTGTTCGCATTATATTTCACTTTGTAACTGTATTACTTATAACTTTGTTTAGTTATTAACAGGTGCAGGAAGAGCTTAAACAGGAACCGTTAACAAAGAAACATGTTCCCAGGATGAGCCATGATGTCAATTCTACAGTGGAATACAAGGAGTCTATTAGCAAATGGACAAGAATTTACAGGATTTCTGAATGGGTTAGAATATAAGCCAGATGTATTACGTGTTGAAGAGGCGTTGCTTGAACAGAACATGGGGTTTGTGATACAGGGACACGTGTGTGCAGACGAAGGGACTCCTGTTGGCCCATTAGCCTCTTTGCAGAAGAGCAGCTAAAGTCATAGAAGATTGAGAAGCACCACTTGTCTCTCAGGCTTTAACATAAAACATTTGCCTTTCCAAATTACTACTGCAATAGGGATTATATTCAAGTATTCAAATAATCGATTAAAGAAATTTAATAAGATCACTGGAGTACAAACACATTTCTAAGATGAAACATGATTTGTTTTACTTCGGTTGGTTTTCACTTTAACACGATGGAGGTCAGGTGTTGTTACTCTTTTGAATACACAGTAGAGAGCAGCACTGGGTCGCTGTTGGAAAGACACAGAGGGAACTGTTACTGATTTGAATCACTTAAAAAAAGGAAACACACACTTGAAAATGAGAATAGCAACACTAGATTTCAGTGGAAGTCACTGTTCATTTTTCAACCCTTTCTGATGTGCAGGATGCACCTGCAGGCCTCCTGTCTTTATTTAACCTCATGCAAATGAAGAGGTTAAGTCTCAGTTCTCTGTGATCTTGCGCATGACTGGAAACACTCTGATGTACGATCTCGTTATTGTACGTGTGAGAAAAGCGACATTTTGTAAGGTGACTCTTGAAAAAAAGAATATTCCTCTAAACTATTCAAGAAAATAAATATACACAATTGGATGTATGCCATGAATTCCAAACCATACAAACAGAACTAAGTGTATTACTACAAAACTGCAGGTAAATATATTCAGATCACTTCATTCCAAAGGTGTTGAGGGGAATAACCTCCACTGATAATAATAATGACGAATAACACAACTGTGAGAAACCTGCAGGTTGAAGCTAAGCTCCTCCCCCTGTCAGTCACTCCCAGCTTCAGTGTCGTATTAAATGTCTCCCCCAGCACCTCCTCTCCTCATCCTCCAAAGCCTCTAATCTGGCAGCAGTCAGGTCTCTTTCCAAGTCACAAGGCCATTCTCATCACACACTGACACCATGCTGGGGACCCTCTGCACTCTCATCACTGCTCTCACATGTGAGGAGGCTGACTTCCTGCAGCTTGGACTTCATGTTGGACTCATCAGTGTGTGTGTTTCTCTTGACTCCATGTCGTCTTGTTGTTTCCAGGTGTGAGTGGTGTGACGGTGGTGACACAGAAGCCTGTTGTAGCCGTGACGACAGGAGAGACAGTCTCCATAGACTGTAACCTCGGGACTGTTACTGACAGTGCTGCTCGCTGGTATAAACAGATTCCAGGAGGAGTTCCTCAGTTTGTATTATATTATCATCACAGCCACAGCTCTCCAACATATGGCACTGGTTTCTCATCTCCAAAGTTCACATCCACTCATCAGTCAACTTCAGATTATCGTTTGACCATAAAGAACATCGAGGAGGGAGACTCAGCCGTCTATTACTGTAAAACATGGGGCGGCTCTGTTGATCAGTACGTATCACAGTGATTTACACTGTGACAAAAACCTCTTCACTGAGTACTTCTGCTTTTTGAGACGCTGACACATTTTGAGGGAAGACATCAGTCAAATTCTGTAACTCAAAATTCTTGTGAATAGATATTTTTTTGAAGTTTGAAATTTGTTGAATTTCTACACAAAATCTCAAATAATTTGTAATAATTGTTATTTATACTTTACCATGTGTGCACTTTAAGATGAAAAAGAAGATAAGCTCAAATGTAAATTTAAATTGCTAATCACAAATTACGATTGATCACACTGTCCTGAAAACAACAGTTAACATTAATGTCTCTTCTTAAGGTGACACATGACAAGTAAAGTAAACACTGGACTCAGCTTATGATCTCAGCTGATCACCATGAGTCCCACAGGGTTCGGTTCTTGGACCCCAATTATCCAGATGTTCGGGTTGGAGTCATCCTTCATGACAATAATGATGCTTAGAACTTTAATACAGATTCTTACTAAGAGTAACTACATTGATTGGTAAACTTATATGTTGTTCAATAAAAAAATGAATAGAAATCATTGAACACGTCGACAAGGACGAACAAATGACAATAAGCTTCACTCAGAAATCAAGTCTCATCTGAACTTCAGCAGCCACATCAACACAATAATTGAATCAGTGTTTTATAATCTTCTACAACGAACAAGAATTAAAGGTCTTATTGTTTGTAAAAGTATGGAACAAGGAAAGTGTTTACTTCAGTTATTCACAACCTGAGGAGTCACATTCAGCACAAACTATGAACCCACTGAATACTGAATAATACGATACAAATATTTCATTAAAGTTATTCCATTAATGGATACAATACTTAATTCATGAAAAGTGTTGATGTGACTCACACACGATGTGTGTTTATGTGTAACAAGTGAATCAAGTGTTTAAGCTCCTCCTCACTGTCTTTATAAGCCTCAGTGTTTCTTCTCCTCACACTCCCGCCCTGCTCACCTCTCAGCTGGACTGTAAGGAACGTTTACAGCTCACACTGACAACATGCTGGGGATCCTCTGCACTCTGCTCACTGCTCTCACATGTAAGATATTTATCCATTCATTTCATGCTCCATGTTTTCATGCACAAACCTTTCCCCTGACTTTTCTCTGTGTGTTGACAGATGTTGATGCAGCGATAGTGCTGACTCAGACGCCTGCTGTCCACTCAGTTCCTACAGGACAAGAGGTTGTCCTCAACTGCAACATTCAGAGATATGATGGATATTATGTGTCATGGTATAAACAGGTTCCTGGTGAAGCTCCTCAGTATGTTCTCAGTTTTTACCATGGGAACAATGCTCTCGACTTTGGATCAGGATTCTCTTCAGACCGGTTCAACTCTAAATCCTCTTCAAGCACAGAATACCAGTTCATCATAAAGCGTTCAGAGACAGGAGACTCTGCT